AGGGTTTAAACAAAAGGGAAATTTCAAAGAATGTATGGGGGGAGGGGGGAGTGGGATACACTTGATTTATTTTCAAACGTTTCAAGTGGGTTAGTGACATCTCTTCTTACCCAATGTCAAGTCTAAAATCCCAAGCGTGGTATCACGTATTCACATTGGTTTATCAAATTTCAAATAATATAAAACGTATAAATAATTCGGCAATATTTGCTCGTTTACAATATATTATTTTGTTGGCCATTGTCGATTCGTACATAAGACACTCGACTCGTATATATTCGGCATATTTTATAGAAGAGTGGTGGACATGTTCGACACGGTATTTTATTACGGCCTGCGCGTGTTTACGGTCTAATACGAAATAATATTTTCAATTACGGTTGCGTGAATAATAATTATGGTAATGTATAAGTTTATGAAGTGTACGCTGCGCCGGAGGGGAGGGTTAGGCGAGGAAGACGATGGTAAGGAGGGTGGGTGTAAGGGGTTGGCGCGATAGCCAGTCGTACGTACCCTGCTCACGTAAATCGTCGACCGCCGGATCGGTTATTACGGGCTGCGAAGGCGGCCGATGTGACTTTCTAAGAATATTCGTTATTTGGTTTAAATGCGTTTCATTCGGTCGTAACGCGACTTCGAATTTATGCGAGGGTTGTAGCGGGGTGCACGCGCGTTTCAAAAACCATTTGATCTCGCGTCGTAATAATAAAACGCGGTATTCTAGATAATAATTATATTATTAAGTTCCGTATCGCATACGAAAAATCGTATATTAAAAAGGCTGTATTTTGTAGTTTACATAGAACAACGCACGTGTTTGAAAATTCTTAATAGTTGTTATTTATTATTCTTTGTCAGACCAATAACCTTTGAGACTCTGTAACATATAAAACAATACATTTTGATATTGACTGCGGTGTAATGGTTATGGAGCGAAACTGAGAAAGTAACACCCTTTTCCCTCCAGATATGACAACAGTATAAATCATTAAATCTTCTAAAATGCAGGAAAAATGCATTTGAAATGGGTAGATAAAACATATTTTTTCCCCCAAATGATTGCATAAAGTACCTAAATTTATTTCACGTCTCACCTGTAGTTGTATAATAACAGTAATACATGTCAACGATTTTAGGGTTGTTAAAAAAAACCCGATGGTATTACTTCATGAATTACGATTACGGGATTATCATCACATTATATTTTGTTCAAACAGATTAAATTATATCTTTTTTTAAACAACTCTTCTGTACTTAATATTATTTAACAATATCGGTAACTGCGATTTGTATTTCCAAGTCATAAAATGAGTTGTAATACTTGTATAAAAACAAACGATTTTGGTAAATAAATATTACTTTTCCTTCTCCTTCCTCCTCATAGGTTTACTCAGTCATGCCATTCCGTATATGAATTATTTTTAATTTTAGTACTCTGTGCCTAGAATCTATATTGATATTCACTTAGGTATTCATACATCACGTATATTTTGTGACTTTGTGTACCTATAATCTGAGTATGTCAGCTGAAATCGTTTTCCCGTTGGTATGGTGGAACTGGAGTGGATTTTAAGATAGTATATCGCATACGTTAAATATCTAACCGATGCACATGAAAGTTTATATTGGGTCCACTATGATTTAGTTTAATATGAAAAATATATTTATGTGCGCATAGTGCATATACAACATAATATTATAGCAATGGACGCTTCACTGGCTTTCGAATTTGCCATCATCAAATTATCGTAGACTGAATTATGGGCGTCACAGTACACATTATTATTACGGTACGTACACTGATGATCTCACACGTGAAATGTGCCAACAGTACTGTATACGCTGCAGCTGCAGTACTCGTATAATATGTAATAATAATATAATAATACTGTGGCGTTTGGAATAATTACTCTTGAAACGCATTTGTCCATTATACAAGCACCTATACCTATGCGACGCAAAATGCATTTGGCGCGGGCATAAATCTCACGACAGACCGAAAAATATTTTATTCAATTGCGATGACGATGACGGGATGATACGTGGAATTCGAATTATCCGCCGGCTTAATGCACTCGTATAATATACCCAGGGTGGTGTTGTAGGATATATTAGCATCGTATTGTGTATATATAGCTGGCGTGCGACGCGCATTATATGGAGGACGAGTTTTTTGCACACATAACGAATTCGCCGTCGGCGCTAGCATTATGTGTGTTATATTATATTATTATGGTACCTGCAGCCATTAGGATAAAATATTCGACAAGTAAATTATCGTTTTGATGGGATACATCGCATTGCACTTATGCACACGCGCAATAGCCGCGATCGAAATCCCATCGCAGTTATTCCCCTTTGGATTAAAATAATACCATTTTACTCCCGTGGTATACGAGCCATCCTATTATTATTATTGTTGGATAATAAAAAAATCACCTCCGACAGCATAATGCATTGTCGCCGTATCATACCTATACTTATAATATTGATTGATTTGAAATGTTCGTCTTCACACAAGGTTAGTTTAGGGTTTGGGGCTGTATTATAAGAAATTATAAGTAAATAAATAGGTATTATATTTTATAACAATCTGAGAACATTGTATGGTCATTGATTCAATTACTGAGCTAGTGGCGATGTGTTCAATCACGTAGGTGTATAGGTGATGGGGACCCCGCCAACGATTTGGTCGATTCACTTTGGTTCTTTAATATTGTTTTATAAAATCCACTCTTCTATATTTTAAATTAAATCATCGTAACTGTAAGATGTAATAATATACATCCTCGCTATACTATCGTAATACTCTGCTTATCATAATATTTCGTAGTGCATGTAGGTAGGTATCTATTCCCATAACATTATGACTAATCTGTAAATACAATACTCAATGCTGTAAATGCATATTGGTAAAATTAGATTCGACTTTTGTATGGATACAGCGGTATTCACTCACTCACTGTTCCAGTGACCTAATTAATACATAATAAATAAATTGTATAAATATTAGGTCAGTGCATTTATAGTGTATCTAATATTAATGCCGTAAGTCACAAGAGTAGGAAAAAATAATATAAATTGAATAAGCAATTTGCAATATTATTATTGCGATAAACTGTAAATAAATTAAAATATTATACTTCATTCAGGTTTTAGTGACCGTTCAATGGTACAATACTTTCTGTATATATTTGAACGAAAAACACCGTAAATAATGTATATTTTGATGACCTTTAAGCGGTCATAAAATCACTTATACTCTGTATCATAGCATTTTGAAGACATCGTAAGGATACCATTATTTAGAAAATGTTAAGTTGACATTTCATTGAATCGAAATATGTTCGAGCATGTACTATACCTATATAATAATTTTTTTTTTGATTTCAAGTGCAAAGTTTGAATAAAAAAGCTTTAAGAACATTTTAGTTTTAATTAATAATATAATTAGGGGCACAAAACATGTTGCTTGCAATCGAAGTATCATGCTTGAAATTTGAGCGTTTATTTGTAATACTCACATAATAAGTTATGATTTATTAAAATACAGTCAAAACTCTTTATAACGAATCTGAAGGGACCAAGAGATTTCTTTCGTTATAGAGAGTTTTCGTAACAGAGAGGGTTTAAAAAAAACAAAATTTTAATTATTTATGTATAATATTATATATCAAACACATCATTATTTTTACAAATAATGAAAGAATGTAATCGTTCTTGGAAATGTCGGCATTATTGCCGATTATTTTTATAGTTTATATATGTAATAGATACGATAACACATAAATTGTATTATGAAAAATAAAATATTGTTTCGTTATTGAGAGTGACTAATACGTTATAGAGAATGAATTGTCTAATGGGTTATATAGCAAACCAACCATTATTATGTAATGATTACGTTATATAGAGTTTTTCGTTGTAAAGAGTTTCGTTATTAAGAGTTTTCATTGTAAATATAAATATTAAATTGATTAAATTATGTATGATATGTACCTTGAATAATATACTGTTTGTATTTAAAATTTGCCTTTAAAAATTATCAAATTCCATAACAATAATGAATGCAATTATGGTGTATCCATTGGCTTTTTAATAATTAGTAAAATAACTAATTATGTTATAATTATCTATTTGACTATTTAGTATTTGTATAATTGACGAAGCGATAATACTCAGTCCATATGGATATATAAAAATATGAATAATAATAATAAAAAACGATTTAAAATCAACACGTAGGTATGTTATATGCACAGTAATAAGTATTGATAATAGAATACGGATGCCTATTGTATTATTGTATAATATTATAATGACAGGACTAAAAGGTAAGAAAGTGCACCTATAGGTTTGATTAAATAATAGTTCGTGTCAATAGCTTATCAGTGTTGTTAGTTACAGTTAAAATCTGTTCATTCATATTCAAAACTAAAGTTTAAAAAAATGAATCATCATTCTTAAAAAAAATAAATTTAATAAAAATAATTTTAATAACTTTATTATTCTGCTTTCTGTATACATTTAATAATCTAGTTCAATTAGCATTCTTATCAACTACTATCAGGTGGTGTTTAGTGTTGGACTAATTATTACTATAATAATATCAATTACGCTACCACTGTTGTCAGCATTTTTTTTCTAAATAATATTTTTGACCTCAATAAAATTATGCATAAAACTAATAATTACAATAATTTTAATAATATTTTTGGAATTCAGGGGACCTGCATTTTTAAAAATGTATGTAGTATGTCTATTATGATAGTTGATATTTTTTATATTTATGTTTGATGGACACGTAATACAATCTTGTGTTTGGTAAGACTATTTTTTGGTGTTTTTCTATTGCATAACATATTGGCATATCTTATAGGGATGACGCGTTGAGATGATCGACAAGTCTGTAGGATGGTGAAATAATATTTTCGTTCTATTAACAGACGCGTAACATATATTACATATTTCATATTTGTATGTGTTATTATGTTTTGTAGATGGAAATCTTGACGCAGAAGACGTATTCGACGACGAAGACCTCATGCCGCCATTATCTCCTACAGGTGAGTGAAAAGGAAACAAAAATAAAATAAGAAACTTAACAGAAATCATAAAAACATCGATTTTTTCACCCTCTTTTTAGCTGTTTGTGTATAATATAAATGTATGCACGCGCAAGCAAGCACACACACACACACACACACACACACACACACACACACACATAAGAGTCGTTTTCTCTTCTATTTTCGTTGGTAGGTCATAGGTACGTATATTATATGCATATATATTATATAGGTTTTCGTCCCAGCAGCACATATATGTGAATAAAATCCCAGGATTTTCGAGTCGCTCCCGCAGGTGCTAGGGGGATTTTCGGTGTCCCTGGGGGCTGGCCGTAACGAAGAAACGAGGTGCAGGAAAACCCCTTTTGCAATTTCCACTACTGCAGGCCACGTCTACCGTGAGCCCGGCACGGCGACGCGAGGTTGCGTTTCAACTAAATTGGCCGCTTTTCACGCGGTATTTCCACGGTTCATATACGTGTTTCATTATGCCAATGGGAACGGTTTGCTCTCTCCGTCCTTCCACGTCCCCCTCATCAATGCCTAACACCTTCTCTTCCTACCTACTCACCATGCACGAACTCCCAGATACTAGCTCTTTCTCCGGTGCCTCTCCTCTCTTATTATATTTTGCAGCCTGTCCGTCCGGCCTTCTTTCAAGTGTATACTGCACACTCACATTCTTTCAGTGCTCAATCTTTTATTTATTTTCACGTACTCTATCACTCTCTCTATCTATTTTTACGATTTTGTTCGTTTTACTGGTATATGCTATAAAAGTTGACTAAAAGTACAGTAAAAATAAAAAACATTATATCCATTAAAATTCCATTTAAACGATTTTCATAATATTTTTTCTATCGTTTATTACGGAAGGGAAAAATATGTGTATATATACCAAGACCCGGTGTAATATTATCTCTGAATGATGTATATGTATAATATATACAAGTTTATATATAAATATATATAAAGAGTGGCAGAGATAGAGTGGCAAAGGCCAAAGAGAGAGAAAAAGAGAGATAAAGTGAGTGTCAGTGAGTGGGAGTGAGACTGCGAGAGTGATAGGGGAGAAAGAGAGAGAGAGAGAGAGAGAAAGATGCCATTTCAATTACAGCGCGAAGAGATAAGAAGAAAAAGAGGAGAAAAAACCATCGGGACGGCGTAGCGGGGTAGAGAAACTTACCTTTTATGCGAGGGGGTTATGGTTCTCGAGGGGTTTGCCGACTAATCAGAGTTTTTCTTGTGCGCGTTTCTCTTTTTCCTGGGTACCCTTACGGCACATGCAGCAGCAGCGTAAAACGACTTGGCGGCGGGCAAGTCAATATTAGGTATGCGCCTTGTGGTATCCCCCGGGGGCATCGTGCCCCGCTTTCGGCGCCTGATTAATTGCATCCCACAGACTCGAAAAACAAGTTTTATGCCCTCTTCACCCCTTTCATCATGAAATCTATTACGGTTTTAAATATATTTGTGTGGTTGTTACAAACGTTTTTCTTAGTTTTTGGTCGCTAAATAGTGTTTGTTTTGTTTGACTCCGGATCCCTGGTTTATTTAGTTTTTCAATTTAAAAATTAAATAAGCAAAACAATTAAATACGTTGACATATTTTTTCGATTTAAATTTTTAATGATTATTATGCCATTAAAACAACATAAGACCTTTGCCTTTCCTTATCCTAAGATTTAAAGGTATTTTCAAAAAGTCATAAATATAAATATTATATTGTAGACAACAGATTGCAGTGCCTCAGTGGTTATGTACACAACGTATTATAAAAAAAATGCAGTGTTAAAAAAATAAATAATATACGTGTTGTAGTATTTTAAAAACATAATACCTAATGTACCTATTTAATATAGTACCTATGCGTTTTAAAATGTAAATACATTATTACATAATTATGTACATAATATATAATAATAGCATGTATTATATTATTCTTATAAATTACGAAATATATTTTATGTATGGTTAATAATAATATCGCGTAGACGTGAATGACGAGGTACACAAAACGTTCGTATTTTTAAAAACAACTGAAGTTAAAATAATTTTAAATGTGCACTGTGGAAGCAGATTGTACATCTTTAATGAGAAAGCATTGTGGTGAACTTAAATGCCTTTTTGGCTGTACAAGGAAAGATTATCCACACGTAATTTAAAAGCAAGAGGGTAAGGGTAGTTTAGCTAGGTGACCCCGCTTATTCCTCGACAGCAATTTTTCATGCCTGAACGCGTTAAAGCCAGCCGGGCCCATCGCTGTCACCGATGTCGCGTCAGCTGTTTTCTGAAAAACGATTTTGTTTTATCATATTTGTTCATAAATTAATCTTGCACATTTTCATAAATCAAAATTTTGCAAGTTTTATTTGACGCCTGTGTAGTAATTTAACAACCATTGCCGAGTTAGTTAATCAAATATCAATAAAACTGGCATGTATATTACGTTAACAATGATTTCTAAATACGATTTTTTTTTGAAAATATGTTTCTGTGTTTTTGGAAAATTAATTATTAGATTATGTTTTTTTTTTATAATAAAAATTAAACTTAAATTTGTAAAACAAAAATGGTTTGGTACAAATGATATTTTTGTTTCAAAATTTTCTTATAATCAGTTTTAAACCCTAACAAAACGTTTTAACTGGTATTACTGCATCAATTGTACTACGACTTTATTCTGTTACATAACCGTTAAGTGTATAAATATTTCACCAACCTACAACTACACAAGCTTATATATTTTAAAGTATGTGAAATATAATAATGGAAATAGTATGGTAATTTTTATCTTATTATATATAATATTAATAATATTAATATAGTAGCTATTATTTTGTGTAGGTACATAATATAATATTTAAATTTTAAATACAATTTTTTTCTTCAATTTTCGAACAATGTACTTAGAATTATTTAAATAAATCAAATGAGTGTGAAGACAACATTTTTTAAGTATGTATAACAATATTATAATGTTGTGTTAGTATTTTAAATTCAGATATGAATCGATAAACAATATAATAACAATTAGATTTATTTTAATCTAAAATGGTCTTTTCCAAAATTGTCTTGTAGATAGTTAATTTATTTAAGATTACCTAAATAAATATAAATGCATTACATAACAAGTATTGCATACGTATTTCATTTAAAATTGAGTATGTTGAAGAAATAAGGTAATATTTTTAAATATTTGTATGATTATTGAATTTAGTACTATTATTTCAAAGTAAATTGTATTAAATTTATGTTCATTATATTATGTCGAATTATTTAATAAATTATAACATAGCTTTAGTATATACAGGATTCGCTGATCTGTCATAGGCATATGTACCTTGACGTTATTGAGGCATTAATTATTAAAATATAATTTTTATCTGTTTTCTAATAACTGTTAATTGTATTTCGTTTATTTACTTAACGTATTATACAGCTTAATAGTAATAATGTAAATGCTAACACTAACTATATCTTTTACAAGATGTTAAGTTGACATACTTTATAATAATATAATTATAGTAACGCGGCGCTTTGATTAGGCAATTTAGGTACACTACTTTCATGAGTTTATTATCCTGGTATGTTATAGCCTATAGGAATGGTTTGTAGTACATCAACGTATGATAAACACTCGTAAGTGAATAAGTAAGGTGAAATTAGTTTATACTTATATATCATAAAGTAGTTTATAACAAGTAAATGCAATTTTAGGTAACCGATGAATTATTGTTTGTACTTTAAAAGTAGTTTTATTTTTAACGAAAAAATTGTAATATGGTATTATTCAATATTTTTTAAATTAGTTTTGTTTGCACGAATGACGTACCTGACCATTTATTGTACAACATATTATCGTTAAATAGTATTCATACTATAGCTATACCAGAATTATACCAGCTTCACACCACTTTTGGTCGGGCTTTTAGTAATTATATAAAATACGATAAAGTGAAATAATTAATTAAATATTGTGACGAGCTGTTTAAGGACTATATAATAACTATATAAGATCAATACTATAAAATATAAGGAATGGACGTTAACATGGGTCACATGATGGTACGAGATAAATGAAGCAATAAGAAAGTTTTGAACCAAATATAGATGAAAATATTTAATAGAGTGATTATATTGTCAAAGGAGGAGGAGGTAAAATTAAAAGTTGGTTCTAAACGCAGAATAGGAAATATGAAGGTTACCGATAGATATGTTATGGTGATGTGATAATATATGATACAAATCTAACACATAACATATTAATGTTAAAATCATTAATATTAATATACAATTCATTTAATTTCAACTGAAACTAAGTATTTTACTTGTTATGTATATGTTTAGTTTGATATTGAAATAGATATAACAAAAAACGATTTATCATTAAAAACATATTATAGTATAATAAAAAAATATTCAATTAAGTACAATTGGAATTCCTTCCTATTTGCAGATTGGCATGTAGCTTACGTACAGATGACGTATGCAATATGCATGATGAATTTATGAAACTTCTATAATCTATATTATATTATGGTTTTGTGATGATAACGTATTGCTATAGAATCAATCCGTTAATAGTTCTATATAATTCAATATATTTTCTTTCGGAATAAACGCAATAACAAGTTAGCACTACGAATTCAACAAGACGATGATAACAAGTACGTTCGGCAGAAATTATACAGTAATAGTATTATCACCTAGGTATCCTTATTGAGTTTCTGTAGAGCGGTAAAAGTACAATATTATTAAAAGTAAAGCGTACGTAAGATTTTTTTTTAAAATTTTTTATTAAAATAAAGTTTTACTGACATATGTCATCTTAACTTAATGTTGATTAGATACATTTTTTTTTTAACATTTGGAAAAAAATATAACAATTAGTAATAATTAAAAAAATTATTAGTAAAAATAGAAACTATCTACTACGTTTTAAAGTATTTACAAATCGGAAGAAAAAAATAATTATAATATAATAATAAATAATA